GTGCCTGGATGAAAACAAATTTCGGGAAAGCAAAGCTATGTAAAATTGAATGGAAACGTCAGCTCAACTCAGATCATTTATGGGAAAATTCTACTTCTACCAGTTCTTCATCACCTTGAACGAAATTGAGTGAATACATCTCATACTACTGATTTACTGGTAGTCACGAAAAACAATACTTAATTTGAAAAATATAGTTTTGATCTATTCTAATAGTAAATAGAACCTGGTCTATTCGACAAATCCATCACAGAAATGTGATATGGGAAAGTCCTAGTCTTTGTTGAAAGATTAATTTTTGCCTTTTGACCCGAGAAGACTCGAGGCCGTGGAGCGTAGCAGCGTACGTGCATAAATGTGTAATCTGTACTGACACAATCCAGATTCGAGTCTCGTCGAGAGCATGGAGCATGAAATGGGAGCGAGATCGAACTGCTGTACAGTTCGAATGCGCGTACTTGCCGATGAAAATGGCCAATTGAAATGTGATGGTACCCTTTTGTGATTGTGTCCGGAGCCAGGTGGAAATGGCAAGTCGATCCAACCGAAAGTTGAATACCCTTTTGGAGGCAAAGTGAACCCCCTAACCGAGTTGACATTGTCACCTTCATTCAACGCATGCGACCGAGGTCTGTCCGGCTGGGCGGCAAAGGGTCAGTCGAAAGGTGACCTGAAAACCCTGCCACAACCGCAAAATGTCATAATTCTCGCCTTCTTACCAGCCATTCGTTAGGGTCTAGACAATTTATGTCTCTACCGCGTTGTGCTCAAGTCATGTGTGTTGTGCATAAGGAAGAAGGAACTTGATTAGACGATTCCTTCTTTCGGCTCCACCAGTCACAGCCAGCCTTGTGCCACCGTGACCAGTAGACAAGTTGGCGAACCCAAAATGAACCAAAGCCTGGCCAATAAAGGGTCAGGCGACCTTATTCATGGTACTTGAACTCTCTTCATCCGAGACAATCAGTCTGCAAACTCACTTTCGCACAATGATTTATTTAAACACACTCACTCACACACATACACACACACACACACACACACATACATGTACATGTACACACTTCAGAGCTGAGAAGTATGTGATCACATCTTTGCCTCTTCCATAGTCCGACGAGCATGTCTTCCAAGACGATGGTCATTTGCCCAGTTTGGCAAGTCGCGCCTTGACGACTGAGCCTGTTTGGCGTCGCGCGGAGGCATCGCGACAGGATCGAGACAGCCACCCGCCGGAGACGGACTTCCAGGGTCCGGTTTTGTGTTGCCCACCGGCGGTCGTGTCGTGGGAAATGGCGAAATAGGTCGAACTGTGTCGACGAAGAGAGAACTGGGAAGATGAGACGAGACGGTGTCTCGAGAAGCATGTCAACAGACGCTGTACCGAGTCTATTCTCCTCGTAGGCGCCGTATTCACACATCACGTCAACTTCAATCATACCAAATTGCATTTTTCACACTCGTCACACTGTTCGAATTCTCCTATTCTTCATAGCTCGATTAACACCCAAACCTGCGAGTCATGTCCTCATCGCAATTTTCGACTGAATTAACCTGCGCTACATTCACGTTTACCACCAACTACTTGCCCATCACATCGTCACAGGCCACACCAAATCCGTCTCCTTTCTCACACTCCACCAAATTTGCTTCCACTTCTTTCTTCCCACACGCATCCAACTCGTCCCCTTCCTTCCATTTTGCCCACTTTTCGTCTCTTTTTATTCTTCTTTTCCATGCCACCTTCCGAATCCATCTTAACCTTTTCTCCCCATTCCCTCCTCCCACCCGATTTGCCCTTTTTCTTCTTCTTTCCTACTTTTCTCCCCATCCTCCCTTCCAATTTACTCGACGCCAAACAAATTTTATTCGACCGACAGACACGTTTGCCGCTCACCTTCTTCGTCGACAAACGAGTATCTGGTATGAAGACCAAGATGGTGTGACCTTTTGTGTGGTCACAGTCTCCTTTCGTTGTATCGAAGTTGTTTAACCTTGTTTTCGCAACTTGGTCATGTTGGTAGGAAGACTTAGAGAAACACACCTTGTCCTGAGTCTATTGTATGCATCATCATTTCCAAAGTCGGACCGTGTACGTGGTACATTCCCAAACGCTTCACCGGCATCGTCAGTGAGTATCGTCATTCTTAGCACCACACAACAACTTATCTTTTTGTCTTTTTGACGTTTGGGAATGTACCACGTCCACGGTTCAACTTTGGTAATGATCATGCCGACAATGAATTCCGAACAAGGTTCGTTGCTCTAAGTCTTCCTACCAACATGATCAAGTTGCGAAAACAAGGTCAAACAACTTATATACAACGAAAGGAGACTGCGACCACACACAAAATCACACCATCTTGATCTTCATACCTTCGAAAAAACACATAATTTACTCGGAGGTATGAAGACCAAGATGGTGTGGTCTAAGTCTTCCTACCAACATGACCAAGT